TTTTTTTTTTTTGTTATTTCAAAGAAACTGAATTACCAAATGCTCCTACACCACGGCAGGCATATCGTTCAACAAATTCTCCTAAATCTCGTCTTCGTCAACATGATACTTTAACTAATCCTTTTGATAATACAATAAAAGATAATGATTCATCTCATAAATTATCTAATGGAAATATAAATCGTTCATCAAATTCTCCAACATATACAAATGGTTTAACAACAACAACAACAAATGGATCAACAAGTCGCCCAAATTCATCATCATCATCATCATCATTTAGTCTTCGTCCAAAACAACCATTAAATCAACGTACACCAATGACAGATCGTGAAGAAATGGATTCACTTATAATATCTAAATCAATAAATGATTCAAATAAAAAATCATCATCAGAAATTCGTACTAATCATCCATTAACAAAAAATATGAATAATTTATCAACATTAATAAATAAATCAAAAGATTCACATCATCATCATCATCATCATACATCAATAAATAAAACTTCAATTCAAACAACATCAACAATAACACGTGATGAATTATTTTCAAAATATAATTCATTTCTTCATATGTCATTTAATGATTTTGAATATATACTTAATGAATTACGTTTATTAAAATTATCTAAAAATCAAATTATTGAATTTATTCAATATTTATTTGATCAATCATTACATGAACATAATAAAAATATTTTATTTATTTCACGTTTATTAATTTATTTATATAAAAATACATTTATAACAAATAATCAATGTATAAATGTTTTAACAAATATACTTTCAAAAATTCATGATTATGAAAAAGAATTATCATTATTTAAATCTGAATTATCAACAATTATTGCAAATATTATTTGGGCTTCTCTAATTAATGATCAAGATGGTAAAATAAAAATAGATATTTATTTAAATTTTTTTTTTTTTTGTATTCAATTTTTAGATTTATCATGTAAAAATATTGGTAATAATATTTTAAAAAAGAATATTTCATCATCTTCAGTATTATTATCATTAAATGATATATGTGATTTACTTAAAGATGGACAACATCATCCACTTTTTCTTCTTTTACTTCAACAATTACAGCAACTTTTTAATAATGATGAAAATTATATGTAAGTATAAAGAGAAGATAATTTCTCTTTTTTTTTTTTTTTATAAAGATGGTCAAGTAGATTCTTTTTTTTTTTTTTCTTTTAATCTTTACATTAGATCCAAGAATAAGAAAAAAGAAATTGGTCAAAAATAGTTGTATGACTAGAAAAAGAAACTATTAGCACAATCCCTGCTGAATCAAAAATATGAAAAACACGATATAGTTGCTATTGCTAATCACAGGGATAAATTATTTTATTCTATCTATTTAGAAACACATTTTTTCACACTATACTTTTGCTTTATTTTCCACAAATGCAAGTTCATATACTATAACGAGACGTTATTGATATAAGATCTTTGATCCTATATCAACTACGTCTGGCACAATCGGTGGGAGGGGGCTGCAAATTTCTTTACTCCTATACTTCAAAATTCGTTTTAGATCATGTTTCACAAAATAGTTATAAGAACGGCTTACGAGCGAAGTTCACAAACTGATCAATCGAGACTATGTGCATCATATAGATCCTAATGAGCCATAGATATCCATCACAACTGCCGCGATGGTATTTAAAAAAAGGATTTCGATTTTCAAGACCGTGGCTCGTTTGAACTAGAATTGCTGCTGCGCTAAGTCTTACATATATGAACACCAAGATTCTGTACAAATTCATGTATCTTCTTAAAAAAGTGCCGCGGCAGCATCGCTATGTATATCATGAGAAGAGCTCGTGCCCTTAGCGCATATTCCTGTCGAGATGTTGCATTTTTATGATATTTTTTAAGTTAGAAATGAAGAATATCACTGGCGTTCAGCTATTTTTTAGTATGGCAGAAACTACTGAGATTTATCTAAACCACCACCGAATTTATCTGGACTTAACTGTTAGTATTTTGCGCATTAGTAAGAGTCTACTAGACTAGAACAATCATGAAAGAATTCGTGTTGTAATTGAGATATGAATATTTCATAAAATAGTATTTTTTAATTAATATCTTGGTCAAGTATCAATCAATACAAAAATTCTTGTCGAGTGATTTCCTACTAATATACAAAATATTCTAATAATTTGAATGATATGCTGCGAAAAAAACGCTTAAAAGAAAGTCGGCAACTTTTTCGGACACCTTCACATCTAAAAACAGAGATGAATACCACTTGCGCCTTAATCATATCAGATATTGCTAGGAATATTAGATTGTAGCCCATCAAAAATTCTATAAAAACGTATGTGAGAAAAAATGTTTTACAAATACTTTCGACTAATACCAAAGATCGTAATATTTAGAAACTTATACTTCGATGCGGATGTGTAATCGTCTATCAGTAAATTGACTCTAGTTCCTTTAGAGTCTTAGGAGAGCAGGATTTACTATATACGATTCGACGCCCCTCAAAAAGTTTTACAACATCAGATATTTAATTTTTCAGATAACAAATGGAACTACCTCAAAACTTATTTTATAGAGATGAAGAAAAAGTTGGCTAAAAAAGAATTTGTTTCAGTAACCGTTAGGTGCAGCCGCTCTGCGCTCTTCTTATTCGACAAGTGCAAAGCAACTGCGCCGCCGCCCTTTGCGCTCTCCTATAAAGTAGTTGAATACCCATGGATTTACTCAATATCTTTGTAAAGATTTCTCTCAATGCAGTTATAGACTATTTCGATGTATGAGATTTTCTCTTAATTAGTAAATAAAAATATTCTTTTATTTTATTTTTTTTTAAATAATAGGTGCAATTTACTTGAACGTTGTCGTATAAATATGCGTGATATGTTACCTGAAAGTGAACGTCAAGATACATTACTTCTTCAAGTTCTTGAAGATCGTGGTTTAGCATATTTATGTTCACATTTAAAATTACGTGTTGAATTACTTAATAAACTTTCATCATCAATTGATTCAAATGAATTTTTATTATTTGTTGATAATCAAACAAAAATTTATGATAAAAATACACAATCATTTATACAAACATTAGTTTCATGTATATATGAAACAGCTATATTCTCAACATTAACATCATCAAAAACAGATAAAACAATATTAAATCAAGAAAAAATTTTTATTGAAAATCATCGTCAATGTTTACAAACATATATTAAAACAATTGAACAACAAGTTTGGGCTTTATATGCATTACAATTAATTGGATATAAAAATAATTTTCCAAAAGAATTATTATTACGTCTTTTTGTTTATTCATATGATTTAGATATAATTGAAGAAGATGCTTATTTTAAATGGAAAGAAGATATTAATGATGATATACCAGGTAAAGGTAAAGCATTATTTCAAGTTAGTAAATGGTTACAATGGCTTGAACATGCAAGTGAAGAATCGGACGATGATGATAATAATAATAATAATAATAATAATGATAATCATAGAAAATCTCAAGAAATTATATTGAATGATAAAGAAGTAAAATAAAATTTAAGAATTATTTTTATTGATTTCCCTTTTTATTTATTATAGAATGGTCATGATCAGAAGAATATAGAACAAGAACAAAATGCATGAAAAAAAATTTTTTTTTGTTCATTTTCTTTTTGTGTGTTTTTAACATAGCATATATCAACGCTCAAATATGTCTTGTTTTTTTTTTTCTGTTTCGTTTCATTATTAACTCCATCCGTACGTCTACTGTATTGTACAAACCATAATAAAAAACATACAATGATCGTATATATATATATACATATGTATTTACAGTCATAAACATTTTTTTTCTTTTTTTTTTTGTTTGACAATAAATGGGAGACATCTACCTTTGAATCCATGGAAATTTGCCCTATGTTTTCTCTTTATATTGTTTTCTTTCGGATAATAAAGTAAATAGATTTTTTTTGTTAATATATGATGTAATGTCGTCTAATCTTCAATTATTACCATTGCATGAGAATCAATATTTTCAAAATAATGTAATTGAACTACTCAATGATGAATGGCAACAATCAAAAACTATTCGTATGCGACGTTTAGAACGTTCTTGTAATGATTTTCCTATATCATATATTCTTATAAATAATAATAATCAACTTATTGGTTATTGTTATGTCGATCGACTTCTAGATGAAGAACAAAGTGTTATTGTTGAATCAGTTTGTATACAACGAACATTACGAGGCAATGGTTAGATTTAAAAAAAAAACAAAGAATTTCTTTTCAATATTTTTCATTTTTCTCTATTTTATTAAATAGGTTATGGACGAATATTAATGAAACTTCTAGAAGATCAACTTCATCAACGAAAACCTAAAATTGAATTTATTTATTTAACAACAACTGATAAACGTCAGTTTTATGAAAAATGTGGTTATGAAGAAACTAATCCACGTGTTCGATTAAATATTTCAAGTAAATTATTTAATGGTAATGAACAAATATTAAAAAATTTATTAGCTAATCAAATACAACCAACAACTGATAGTCATGTTATTTTACAAAAAGGTTCAACTATTCAAAGAATTCAAACTATTTGGATGAAAAAAAAAATTTGAAATAAAAAGTTTTTGTTTTTTTTGATTGAAAATGTTCAGTTTAATTGTAATATTTTAATTAGTAGAAAGTTATACATGATTTGAATATATTTCTCATATAATAGAAATTATATCAATTAGTTATTGTTAGGAGTCGATTTCATTTTTTCATAAGCAAAGACAATTATCAATTGAATTTCAACGATTCGAATAACAACAAAAATTTTTGTTTTGTAGAGCATAGATTCCAGTGGCGTAGCCAGGATTTTTTACATAGGTAGCAATTTACCAGCTAAATTATTTTGAATAGGTGGCAGCAATGGGCAATTGTAAAACCTAGTGGGCAATAGTTTTTTAAATACTTGTCCGCATTACAGAATTTGTTGTTTACTGAAGAGAAATTAGTCATACTGGATTAACAGATAAATTTGCTCGCTTTTTTTAAACACTATTTCAGAAACGTACTGTTTGATTTCATATATTTTAATATTTTATGTCAAAAAGTCATAAATAAGTATCAATAGAACAAGAAAATCAATCTCTTTTCTGAATATGTGGTAGAGACACAATGACTGTCAGTCTATCTTTTTTCGTGAAATATTGATCAATGCCTCTTTATTTTCTTTCGTCAGGCAATGAAGGTTCGTTTATCTTCTTTAATCGGACAACTGCATGAGTTAGTTTGTCCTATTACGTCGGACAATGAAAAGCATTACTCCACATATATCTCTAACAAATTCTCAATCATGAAAGCTTTTTTGCATGGTTTCAATGTTCAGTCATATGTGCATTCTGTAAATTACATATTATCATTTCATTTCTAGTACTTTCAATGCCTGAGATGAGTTTTCAAAACACTGTCGTTTAGATACTCAGTCGACTTTTATTTAGATTTTCTATGTAGTTTATTCACGTTTTCAACTCTAAGAGTGCAAGAATCATGTTACAACATACATTGTGGAAGCTTTTAATTTAGATTGCTTCAGTCGTTTCTGTACAATACGATTTATGTTCGTAGAGAGATCGTTGAGTATTCATTCAAGTTTCTCTTTAGCTCATTTAAGTATATTAGAGCGTATTTTGACAGAAAATACTATTAAATCATTATTACTGTGATCATTCTTTGAATGCAAAAGATCGTAGATTGATTTTTGTAAATCACTTGATTAGATCTCATCAAGAGAAAATGTATTGAAAGAAAACACTCCTTGAATCTTTAAGTATACACAGGTATTAACATTTTTTGACGATGGGCAATTGCGCGCATTTAAAAAAAATTAGGTGGCAATAGAATTTGATTTAGGTGGCAATTGCCCAATTGCTACCCTGCTGGCTACGCCACTGATAGATTCTAAAATTTAACTAAATTATAATAAATTTACTTACTTTAAAAACAAAAAAACGTTCATAAGTTCATACTCGATTCATTACTCTTAAATATTTACATTTATCTTCTAAATTTATATGTAAAAATATGAATATCGCAAAAAGTTTCTATATTGCACTTCAAAGTTTTCTTGTGAAGAATTAAGATCTTCATTTGTGTAATCATCTATCATGTTCATTAGTGTTGTATATAAATTAATAAATTACAAAATATGTAATCGTTATTTTCTAAAGATAGATGCTTGACATAAACGATTTTTTACTCTTTAAAGCACAATTTTCATGTTTAACAATAACCGATTTCTTATCAGTCTGTTCTTTAACTATTATCTTAAATTCAAATTTTTAAAATCACAATTTCTTCTATCAATGATTTCATTTTTTTTTAGATAATGTAAATCAAATAAATAGATTATTGCTTGTTTATTTGAATAAAATAAAATAAAAAAAATAAGATCAATATTTCTTTTATTGTTTTCCATTACCGTTTTCTAATTTTTTACTATCACTTATACGTTTAGCATTAAACATACATGATTTCATACGTGTTAAATCTCGTTTTGATTTTGAATATTGTTTTCCATCAGTAAAATCAAGTAAATTTATAACTTTTGACCAATCACATGATACTTTAGTACTTTTTTCTAATGCATATTGACGTAAAGTATTTTCTTCAGTTTTCATTGTTTGTCGTTTTTGTTCCATTTGTTTATTTCGTTCATTATACCAATGTTCTAAATCATTTTTAGCTTGTTGTCGTAATTCATCAATTTTTCGTTTTTCTTCTGCATCTTTTGCAGCAATTTCTTCTTCACGTTTTTTATTCAAAATTTGTATTGGTAATACAACTTCATTTGAAAACATATTCCATGAAGATTGATCTTCTATAAACAACAAAAAATATATAAGAAATGTATAGTTCTATTTTTTTGTTTTTTTTTGAAAAACCTGATTGTTGATCTATTGAATTATCAGAAAGAATATCTTCTGCTGTCGGTGGTAATGTATATAATGGTTCATCATTTTCAAATAAATTTTCATTGAATGGATTTATTGTTTGTGATGAATCGATATTATTCAAATTATTATTGAATGGATAAAATGTTTCTGATGAATCGATATTATTCAAATTATTATTGAATGGATTAAATGTTTGTGATGAATCGATATTATTCAAGGTATCATTGGATGAATTTAATGTTTCTGATGAATCGATATTATTCAAACTATCATCGGTTGGATTTAATGTTTGTGATGAATCAATATTATTCAAGTTATCATTGAATGAATGTGTTGATGAAATATCCGATGGAAATGATGTTGGAAAATTAGAATTCTAAATAAAAATGTTAAGAAATGTATTGAAAGTTTTTTGTTTTTGTTTTCATACATTTTCCATAACCGGTGAAGAATCATCGTTTTGATTGTTTGTTATTTCATCAGTATTTTCAAATCCAAATAAATCATTTTCTTGTGTAGTAGAAGGTTTTGATGTAAATGTATCAAATTTATCCATGGTCGTGCGTTAGATAATATTGTTTCAATGATTGTATTTCGTGTGTCCCTGAGTAAGCTGTTCTTTTGTGTTTGGTAGATGTATTCTTTTTTCTCTTTTTATATATCGTTGCACTTGAGTTATCATGCTTATTAATGTTTGTAAACAAATTACAGAATCGAAAAGAATAGATACGATTCAAACTATCGTTGTTTTTTTTTCTTTTTCCTATGAGAAATGCGACGATACAAAACAATGATGTCATAAGATTTTATGCAGTGTTTATATTTATATTTATTTTTTCTTTAAATAGAAATCTTTTGAATTTCCTCTAAACGTCTAGGATATTTCCATAAATTGAAAAGAATAATAAATTCCTTCGAATGACGCACACACCCACATAAATAAATAGAAAATAAAAAACGAAATAAACATGTGTATGTCTCATTTCTTTTACTTGTATAAGCATTGACAACTTGCTTTTTTTTTCTTTCCTAAAAGGTGAATAATGGTGTCATACGAGATCAAAAGCGATAAATGCAAACACCATAGAAAAACAATTTCGTTACTTATATTCTATTATACAGACTTTACTCTTCTAGATTAAAAAAAAGAGTATCATTCCGTATTTCTAATGGCTATGCATAATTCCTCTCCTACTAACAATCAAGTAAATTTAAATAATAATAGAAAAATTTTCTTACATTTCCTTTTTTTTTTGTTTTTGGTGATTTTATTTAGAATGATGATAATGCAACTATTGTAAATTCTTTATTTTCGTCTGATTATAATTATACATCAATAAATGCTGGTATACCTATTCGAACTACGAATTATAATCGTGATAATTTTTTTGTTAAAAATGATTTAAAAGAAATAATTCAACAACTTGAACAAATTTTAAATTATTATCGACAAGAACTTAAACAAGAATCTAATGCACAATTCAATTGTAATCGTAATTTAATAACACGTCTTATTGATTTTATTCGACCAGTATATTCTTTAAATCCAAAAAAATTGAAAGATTTAGATATATTATTTAATGATATATCAGATTTACATGATAAGAGATTTAATGAACAAAAAGAAAAAAATGAACAATTCCAAAAGGAAATTTCACATTTGAAAAAATTGATGATAACATCAGATAATGAAGATAATACTAATAGAAAAAATTTTCGAATAAGTAAGATAATTTATAAAAAAAAAAAAAAAGATTAATTATTTAATTAATTATAAATTTTAGATTCAATAGTTGATTATGAAGAATGGATAGAAATAGAAGAAGAAACAAGAAAACTTCATAATTTAGTTAAAAATCAACAAAATCAAATCAATGAACTTTTCAAACTTTTGTCACACGAAGGTAAATATGAAAATCTATAATTCATAGTTAACACCATTCAAATAGATAGAAACAAGTGATTTATACTTCATAACAATTATATCTATCGCTTAATTACTACAATGATAGCATAGGAATTCTATTTCATTATCCAAGATGATCACTCCGACCGTCGGAAACATCGTATTAAGGTCGTCTCCTTCAAAAATGGATCTCAGACTAGGAACGTTCGAATGGCATGAAATTTTTAGGATATGTTGGAGCTACAGTGGTGGTGCTATAGTAAAATTTTTAGCCCTGTACCATGACGCTTGATGGAGATATTTGCCAAACAAGGGTCAAAAAATAGTTCATTTCGTCTCCAAAAATTTTCTGTGGTGTTCAGTCTATACATTTAATACATTCAGCTCGATGTGACCCATTGGTGAGTCACACTATATTTTAAGAAGAAACTATACAGAAAACCGCTTCCTTTTGCCTTTTACTCAGACAGGAGGTTACACATTGCTTCTCGTTAAAACAATCAAGATATACATATCTCAACGTCATAAAGGACGTTTTACAATAGAAAAAAAATGAAAGAGAAGAATAGAATTAGCAAGAGAACTAGTGAATGTAATAGCGAATGACTCCAAGAAGCGTAGCACCGACACATACATACATAAGCATGTTGGAGAGTACCGGCCATGACATAGACGAGTATATTATTAGGAAAAGTTCAATATAGAACATGTGATAACATACTGGGAAAAACCCAATACGTCATGTGAGTAAAAATCAGTACGTGATGTATAGACATAACTGTCGATGTGATACACCAATCAGAAAAGAGAAAACAATGAGCCAGCAGAGAATGAAAAGAACAACGAATGCACACAAAAATGAATCTGCTAGAGCTATTCTGTAATAAAACTGAATCGGGCTGAATGTATTAATATATTTTTTTTTGTTTGAAAGAATATGTCAGAATGCAGTGCCTATGAGAGCTCTTACTTTTTAAGGGAAAACAAAGGATCGAAAGTTCAATGACTCAAAAAAACGCTCTGAAAATGGTGCTTTAATTATATAAATATCTGTAAAAAAAAAGAAACTATTGACTGCCATAAAGTTTCTTCGAGAATTTTTGGAGATCAGATCGAAAACCTATAAAACCAAAAAAAAGATTTTCGGTTTTATTACTCTATCACAGGAAATACATAAGTTAAAAGAACTTTTTTTTTCGATTAGAACATAACTCAACAAAACAAAACATACTCCTCAAAAAGCATTAGCTTAAAGATCCTTCCGTTCTTTTTTCTTTGCTCGAAACTTACTAAGACAAACTGAATTTCAATTAAAGTTGAATATAGTTTAATCTAATTACATAAATCTCAACTTTGCCTGACACATGCTGCTTATTCTACGCTCGTTAGGTATAAGCATGATGAATTAATGCTATACCTAAATATTGATTTCACATGACTTGTTCATCTATGATTAGTACGCTATTGCAATATTAGAAATAAACATCATGTACTTCAATAAAATATTGGGTTTGATTACCAAAACTATTCATGATTTGGATTGTGTTTTATCAGAAATTTTCAAAAAAAATCAAATCCTTTTTTTAAATATATTAACTTTTAGAACAAAATTTTCTTATCTGTTAGTTTTCTACTATATTCATTTTTGAAAAATTTTATTATTAATAATTTATTTTACGTAGTAAGTAGTTTCTGATGTTTGTTTGAATAGAAAGTTAAATTAGATATTTTGTAAAAAAATAAAAATTGACTTTATATAACAACCACATTTAGCATTACGGAAAAAGACAACGACATTAGGAAAAAAAGAAATTAAGACGCAAACTTTGTTAACCTATATTCTGATATAAATAGGGATGTGCAGTTTCAGTTTATCGACTACTGGCATTATCGACTCAGTATAGTTAGTACATATTGGTATCAGTATTCGCTGAAACATCAGAATACGCTGCCACCAAAAAAAAAGGCATATATTGGTAGAGTTAGTGTCTCAATGTTGCAGTGAACGTAGGTACCCATGTGGTAAAAACCGGATGAAAACCAGCGGTTAACCGCGATTTTACCGGTCCAGTTACCGACTCCCATTACTGTAATTTACCGCTAAAAACTGTTCGGCATTTACGATATGGGTATTAGTGTTTCACTGAATGCCGATGGCAGTATAATCAGTATTTCAGTAGAATCTGTGTCAATGGCTCACGTTCAGCATGTACACCAATACTGCATATCTCTAGATATAATATCAAGCAGAACAAAAATCGATATAAGAAACTTTTAATCGATTTATTATATGAAATGCCTAAATGCATTTTATTTATTTTTTTTAGAAACTAGTCCATTCCATACTTCTTCAATTATAAAAATCATTCCTCCTGATGAACCTCTAGTTATTGAACAAAAATTGACTGATTTTGATCTTGATGGTGATGATAGTCCACCTGTGACTAGAGTTCGAACTCGTACTGATCAACAACTATATCCAGGTACGAATATATTACAAAAACCAACCGGTGAATTTCACTTACCTAATACATTATCCTGTCATTCATTGAATGATATCCTTACAGAAACATTTTTAGATGGATTAAATAATGAAATACAATATCAAGAACCACCCACAGTTACTACTAATGAATTGCCATCAGTCTCTCGTCAACTTTCACATAGTAACAAAAAACTTTGTCCTATATGCAATTATGAATTCCTTAATACAGTTAATGAACTTGAAATCTATACTCATGTCGAAACATGTTTAATTTCAGCGAGTATGGAAGATCTTGGTCCTTTTACTGGACCAAAACAATTTGAATGTCCAATATGTAATCAACAATTTTCAGGCAGTGATGATAAAACATATCGTGAACATTTATCAAATTGTTATAGAGACGAATCTGACGGTGATATTTAAATAAGAAGAAAATAAATTTTCCTTACAGATCCTCGATACCCTCAAACTTATATATAATTGGTGGTCTCAATATTTTTCCAATATCTTAACAATTCGAAACAACTTTTCTTTGTTTTTTTAATTAAAATATTGGTCTTTGAATTCTATGTCTTCTTGTAATAAAAGTATACATAATAGTTTTTTGATATACAATACAAAAACAATTCGTATAACATGGCCAACTTTCGAAATGACATTAGTTTTTCATTTTAATCTGTTTCTCTTTATTATCCGAAAATTTTTATTGAAATTGAATAATCTAACGAATTCATGTATTAATTATGATTCTTATGAACATCAGGCACAAAACTGTTGTTATAACATCATTGAGTTAAATGTTGATTTGTAATTTCGTATTATAATTATAAAAGTTTTCATTTATTTCTAAAAACTACAGTCCTTTGATGTTTGTAAATTTTGAAAATTAGGTGAAATATAATCTTGTAGAGAATTAAAAGGTGAATATTTTGATACAAAATAAAAGTTGTTTTGAATTGTTGAGATATTGAGACTGTTATTTATTTGGTTGGCTGTAAAAATAATATGTACATGAAAAGTAGTCAGTAAATGGTTAAGAGAGTTGTGAATAGTAAAGAAAAGGTTTTATTATATGCGTTAGTGTTAACATTTTAACAGTGATCGACTATAGATAACGAAGAAAAATCGATCATGTATCATTTTTTTCGCGTAGCAATTGTAAATGATAAACCATCTAAGCACTCCATAGCATCCCCAGACGACTCTTCCCAACGAAATCACCGAGGAGTCCCTGAAAAATGCGAAATCCCTGTCGTGAGTTCTCGGGAGAGTTGCATATCTCAGAATCCCCTTAAAACTCCCCGGGAAGTCCGTCTAAAATTTTCATAAATTCGAATTTTTCAGGAAATTCCAATGGTGGCTTCTGGAGAGGCTCTGATAATACTCATCAATCCCCTGGGGAGTCCTTGAATCTCCCCCAAGGTCTCACGACAGCGGTTCTTCCATGGAGTCTCGACTAGGGATTTATAGCACCATCATAATATCGTTTACCAAGATTATCCATACGACGTTGAATAGCAAATGTTTTAGCTTGTTTTGGTCTAGCCTCTAAACCTGCAGTAAACTGAACATACATATGATGAAAATGATTCTCGTCTCCTTGTAGAAACTTTATGAATGACCAAGTATTTGGATAATTTATTTGTACTCAACAATTAAACAACTTTGAAATGCTAAATAAAACATACGTGAAATAGATATTGTTTTAGTTATTGCTCGTTGTTTGACTTTTCCACAAACTTCAAGTTTTTCTTTATCTGAAAGATGATTATGATCACCAATGGTTTTAATCAATTGACTATCAGAGATATCCATCCCGACAGCGACAGGATTTTTTTGCAAGACATTGAAAAACTGCATGAATTTAATAGAATTTCAGGGTTCACAAATGAAACATCCCAAGACTGAATGAATCCGATGGACTAGTATCAATATCTCTAGTCAAATATAGTCGCAGCAGTGAATTTAGAAACACTTTTTTGAAAACTGCTGCAGCAACGACGCAGTGGACATCTCTGTTAACTATTGACATCAGTGTGTACTTTAGCTGAACATCCATTAAGCGTACATATCCAATACTTAGTAGTTGCTGTTGTTTTATTCAATTTGAAAACATATTCATCTACTATGAGTAAAGATTTTTCTTTATCTGAATTTATAAATGAAATAGCTGGAGATTTTGCTTGAGTTGTATCAGATGAAGATGCAGCAGCTTCAGCCATGATAATAGAATTCCAGTTATATAATAGTTTTCCGCTCAACTCTTTTATTTAATTTTTATTAGGTATTAGTCATTACTATTACTACTGGTTAAAATTCTACACCAGTAGAATAATAAGAAAAGCAGTAATGAACTATACGTGATTGGAGTCATCATTTACTGGAGACATCATTTTTTTCGATATTTTTCCATTTCAATATTTACTTTTCGACATTTTTCCAGCACACTATTTATTCTGCTGCATCCCTTATATTGATATTTATTATCCTTGTAAATATATATTCTCCCATTTTTTGATATAAAGAAATAAAACAATATATGTTTAATTATTTTTAATATAAGAATTTTATTTAATAGATAATAATATCAATCAATCTGTTTCTTCAATTAAATCGAATGTCTTTGTTCAATCTATTCGTACATGTCCAATTTGTCAAGCTATCTTTAGTATACTATCAATGAATGACCAACAATTTGAAGAACATATCAATGCTCATGACTATATAAAATGAAATTAATTATTTGTCATTATATTTTTTTAAGAATTTTATCAATTTTGTTTTTTTTCTTCTTTTGATCAAATTTGATTGTTTATTTTTTGTTTTATTTTGCGCAAAATCAAAAATGAATTTTTCAAATATAGAATGTTCTTCTTTAAGTAATGAACATTATTCTCTTGTATTAATTATAGGTTTTTATGGATTATTGATTATTGAATCAATCTATTTATGTATGAAACAAATATGGAAATTGAAAAAATGGTAGAAGAAGATTTGAAATTTGATTAAATGAATATATATTTTGATTATTTATCAAAATTTAACCTATCTTGTTCATTATCATTAACTAGAAGTCTTATCTTAATCATATCGACAAGAAATTTTGTGTAAACTATAGTGAAATAATGTTTTATGTTAATACTCTAGTTTAATTCTTCATATTCGTTCACTATTTTATAAATTGTAATTGAAAAATCTATATGAAAAGATAATAAATACAGAATATTTTTATTCGATACTTTTCAAAGATAATTAACAAAATCAATATCATATTGATAATAGAGAAGTCTTTCAAATGATCATGATCAAGAGTTCTTTTGTTCAATATTTTTCTTTTTTTCTTTATATGTTAATTGAATAATCGATGAAGTAATGCATAAAGATTGAAATGATAACAAAGCCATGAACAATCAAACGTGACAATAAGTGTTTTGCTTACGAGAAAAGATCTGCAAGGGATTCATCGCTTTTAAGTTGGAATTATCTGCATCATGTAAACCCTGAAAAGAGTTCAAACTGATAGTTTATTGCTACCAAGATACTTCATTTTTATGGCATTTTATAAACACAGTGCTTTGGTCCTCTCAGAAACATCAGTAAAGCTAAATTTCAAATCGAAATTCCAAATTTAGTTTTTCTGATGTTGGAACTCTTTTCAAGGTAATCATAGCTCATTAGGATCTACATGATGCATATAGTTCCGACTTAAAAGATGATGAATCACTTGGAGAGCTTCTCTCGTTAGTGACATATTAATGTTATGATTGTATAATCTGATAGCTCGAGATTCGATCCTATTCAATGATTTCTTCGTGGGATATGTTCTCAATAAGATGTAGCACTTTTGAAGTACATAGCAAACTATTCAATCATAAAAATTTCAAATACCATTAAAAAAATCATTTTTTCAACTAAGTTTTACTAATGAGGTCTTCTTAAGACTAGAAAAAATTCTAAAAGGATTCGTATCCATGAACCTCTGAAGCAGAATTATGATCGTTTTACCGAAAAATCAACTGACAGTATTTCGATCATGAATTTCGTCAATAAACAGGTCGAATATCCTGAAAGCTTCAATCGAAAAAGAATGCTCCTTTGTCAAGATATTGAATTTTCAAAAAATAAAAACGAATGTTTGCCACAGCAATCGAGTTTACTTGACAAAATTCAATATCTCGACAAACGAACGGTCTTTTCTGTTGAAAAAACATTCAGAATATTCCAAAAGTGAGCTGAATTTCAGGTCGAAAGTTCAGTAAAATGGTTATAACTCAATTCTACAGGCTCATGGGCACGAACCCTTCTAAGATTTTTCGAGGTTTCTCGAAATCTCCTTATGAACTCGGTGGTTATCAGTTTGAGTAGTTTTCTTGTCAGAAGAATTTTATCTTTTCTTTATAATACAATTAATAATGTGATTTAAATATAAAGATTATGAATGTCTAAAATTACGACGAATCGCTCTTTTATGAATTTACTATAAAATCAGCAGATTAAATATAAAACAGACCTTTTTTTTCTAAGTAAATATTGATAATTTTACTTGTCCTTATCTATTCATAAAACATTAGTTATCTTTTTGCTTTGAAATAATAATCATAAAGTTGGACACTTAACGAAAATAATTTTTCTTCTCTTCATTATTCTATTTTTCTAGATTCTATATACAAAACAAACTTAGAAAAAAAAACACCATTCCTTATTTTCAATAGCTATGTATAATACTTCTCGCAATGACAATCAAGTAAATTTAAACAACATTAAAAGTTTTATTCCATTTTCTTTTTGATTTTAAATAGGATGATATTGATCTAACTATGATAAATCATTCATTTTTGTATGATCCTAATGATGCACCTATAAGTACTCATATACCTATTCTAAAACATTTACAACAAGCTAATCAATCATCGAAAATTGTGTATGATCAAAGTAATCAAACAAAATTCTAATGTTAAACATGATCATATATTTATTGAACATTATTTAGATGAAAGAACTAATCAACTTGAACAAATTTTAAATTATTATCGACAAGAACTTAAACAAAAATCTAATACACAATTCGATTGTGATCGTAATTTAATAACACGTCTTATTGATTTTATTCGATCACTATATTCTTCAAATAAAAAAAAATTGAAAGATTTAGATATATTATTTAATGATATATCAGATTTACATGATAAGAGATTTAATGAACAAAAAGAAAAAAATGAACAATTTCAAGAGGAAATTTCATATTTAAAAAAATTAATTATAACATCAGACAATGAAGATAATACTAATAGAAAAATTTCTCGAATAAGTAAGATAATTTATAAAAAACAAAAAAAAAAAAACTAATTATTTAATTAATTATAAATTTTAGATTCAATAGTTGATTATGAAGAATGGATGGAAATAGAAGAAGAAACAAGAAAACTTCAGAATTTAGTTAAAAATCAACAAAATCAAATCAATGAACTTTTCAAACTTTTACCATACCAAGGTGAATATCAGAATGTAGAATTCACAATTGATACCATTTCAAATAGATAGAAACAAGTCATTCATACTTCATAACAATTATATCTATCGATTAATCACTACAATGATAGCATAGAAGCATGAAATAGATTAAGTATACGATGATGAATTTTCATTCAAACGAAAAAGTTCAATGCATATTGTCTTACAGAAATAGTCTTCGACATCAGTAGAAAATAATTGATTTTTGACATGAGTACTTATATGTTCATTTTTTTCAAAAAAAAAACTATGCAGAAACTAAAAAAATCTGGGCAAGCTCGAAATCATTATCGGATATAAATCTCGATAAGTTTGACTATTGTTTTCGATAAAATATTTATGCTTTTTGTAGAGTAAAAGCTGTACATTAGCATTAGGATTTGATATCAATTAAAAGAAAAGGCTTTGACCAATAGACTTCTTTCTTCTTTTTGTATTCGATCTCAAATGTTTCATTAAAAAAAAAATGAATACTGAGTACTAGAGATAGATTAATGAAATATTGACTTGACATGATTTACTCACTTCTGATTAGTATGAAGTTATAATATTCCACATAACCATCTGGTATTTCGATAAAATATTGGGTTTGATTACCAGTACTATTCATGACGATTGTATCATACGGATTCACTCTTGAGAATTGAAAGTACCAAGAATACTTTTGATATTTCGGATTGTACTTTATCACAAATGAAATTTTGTATTATCATTATAACTTGAATTGAACTGTTTGTCAATAATCGCAACTAGAGTTGATGTGTCAATGTTACTGTGAACGCGAATGATAGTTTAATCAGCATTTCAGTGAATACTGATGCCAATGACTCATTATTCAGTATGTACAACAACACTGTACATTCCTGGATATAATATCGATAACAATTTCATTATGAAACTTTCAATCCATCTATTATATGAAATGTCTAAATGCATTTTATTTATTTTTCTAGAAAATTTTCCACATCAAGATTCTTCATTCAAAACGATTATTGATCCTAGTAAAGAACCTCCTTTTAACACGCAACAATCGGCTGCTTTTAATGCTAATGTTGATAATACTCTTGTATCTAGACTTCGCGCTCTTGCTGATCGACAACAATATTCAGGTACATATATATTATTAAAATTAACCAATGCATTTCACTCATTCGATACATTACTTTTTCATTCATTGAATGATATTCTCACAAAATTACTTATACATGTAGTAAGAGAGATGTCATAATATTCATAATTCAGTTATTAGGATATTCATCTAGTGAATAATGAAACACAATATGAAAAGTCATCTATAGTTCCTATTAATGAATTACCACTAGTTTCTAGCCGATTTTCATGTAATAGCAAAAGAAAATATTTTATATAAAATTATGAATTTCTTGATACAGTTAATGAACTTGAAATGAATTTTTATGTCTTCATTTGTTCTATTTCAGCAAGTACGAATGACCTTGATTCTTCGTCTCCATCAAAACAATATGGATGTCCAAAATGTGAACGACAATTCTCAAGCAGGGAAGAATCGACATATCTTGAACATTTATCGAATTGTTATAAAGAACCTGACAACAGTTTTTAAATCAGAAAAAATTTCCTTTTAGACCTGCAATATTTTCAGACTATGATTTATATATATCAATATTTATTATTATTGTTGCCCTTTGTGATATGAATAAATATAGAACTATATAATTTCTTTTTATTACTAGACATAATTTAGTCTTTTTCTTTATCATGTTAAAGTAATTTATAAACAGTTTTTCACAAACTCAGACAAAACAAAATAGACATGTGTACAATAAATAGACATTTTTTCAAAATTTATTTCTTCTGTATAATATTTCCATGATGACATAGAACAAGATAGGTTATGCTAAGTCCAGATTCGAGTTTTTTTTGGACCGATTCATCTATCAAGTGGGATCCAACGAGTTCTATCAGATAGCGAGGATACGCGTGCAGATGGGGATATTTTCTTCTTTAGATTGACAAACACATCTTTGATCATATTGACTTGATCACTTCCATTGGCTCGTATTCGAAATTAGAAATCAATCATATCTATTACTCATTGTTTATGTGGATATTATAGCTTTATTAGATGCAACTGTTAATTGTATATTTGATGCTGTTCTTATTCTTCGAAGAATTTCAAGTTTCAAAATTCCAACAAAACATGCGTTTGGTGTTGGAGTTACTTTAAGTTTATCGTTTGTTAGATGGTCATTAGTATGGTATTTTGGTGCAGAACCATAGTTTGCTTCATTACGATATACATGTGCAATCTATAGATTTATTACATATCGTTTAGTATGGAATGAATCTATACAACATATTTATATCAATATGACAAATTCTTAGTATGCCATCCAACTTGATTTAGAATATTTCAAACCACCAAAACGACCTTATCAAATAGAATTAAAACATAAACTGTATAAATTATCGAAATTATTTACAATATTTCGATTAAAATGCGCTCATTCAAAATTACAAAAAAGTTATAGTAACACTTTACTGTGAACCAAATGGAATGATATCTCATTATCAGTTATTTCCATATTATACAAAATATTCTGCATATTGAGTCTTACTTACTGCTATTACAAATAATTTTTTATACATTTGCTGAAACTTTAGTTGTGCAGCAGAAAGTTTCTTTTATTATGGGAAGCTTTTCTCAATGTTATTATACTTTTAATACTTGTTGTTGCTATAGTAGCATCCCAATTATGTGTACGACATAAAAATATCTTACATTCCATTTTTTTAAATATAAATGTTCTTATAAGGGCACTGTTCGAAGTGATAAGTCATTTTTGAGTTTGAAACCTATGCATAAAGTAGACTCTAGTGAGGGTGTGGGATGTAGGTGCGGATGCGGATGTTCTCTTCATCTGCACCCACCCTTATCTCACTACTGTTACATCGAATGTTATCGTTTAACATTTTTGAAAAGTTTAATGACAAAAAATAGGACAACTATGTTAACACTAATGGATTTGTTGGCATGTTATAGAAGAATGATAAGTTATGTAATTGTTTGAACTATCGCTATGATATTTATATAGATCATATGAATCGATAGTTTTATGACACATTGATTTTTACATCAGTTGTGAAAAAATACATTGAAAGAACGATAGATTGTATTTGGAAAAATGAATCCGATACAGCTCTCTACTCTAGAGACTTCCAGTTTCTTCGATACGTTGAATTTTTACTTTTCTGTAGCAGCCATTGCATGATCTTTTCCAACATTTGCCTCTGTAAGGCATGAAAATGGACACTTGCTGAGAGATTTGTAAGTGTGGGTATGTTTTCAGTCCTATTTCGTGACGTTTGACGAATATATTGACCAAACAGGGGTCAAAAATAGCTCATTTGGCAAACAAAATTTCTCTGTCCAGGCTCATTTTATATATATGGGTGTGGGTGTAAATGTGTGTGTGGAATGTGAGCATGGGTGTGAGTGTACAAATGTTGGCATTAATTTCCTACCCACACACACACCCAAACCCTACGATGGCGTTTAACATGCTCTCACTTGTTCAGAACAAGTACTATAATCGCTCGTCTCGACATCGGTGTTATCGCTTCCATTGTTTTTTTTATCAACTAATAGGTACACCGTATCGATTAATATTCGTTATGTTGTTGTGTTTTCTAGTTGTTTTCGTTGCTGTTTTTACTTCAATTTCTATTTTTATTATTATTTTTTCGGTTTATTTATTAAAATAAATTTCTACATCTAACAATCCAAACATATAATCTCATAAAATATTTTTGCTGTTTTTTGCGTTGATGATACACGTGACTTCAGCGGGAATTTCTGAATCATTGTTTTTTCCACCTATGTGGACTTTGCTTTTTTTGTGTTCTCTTCTCCATTCTCGCGTTGACTGTTTTCATTGACGTCATAACATATGGTATGTCGTCTTGTTAAATATATATCTGTACTGCTTCTATTTTTAGCAACTATGACGCAGATACACGGTAACTAAGATTGTACTATGATAAGTTATTGCGAATAATTACGACATAATTGCGTATAGTCGTGATAGAAACTTCTAGTTACACCCAGATGCAATTATCTTGTCATGACTACTCATGACTCTACATCGTAAGTTTTTTTAATGGCGATTGAAAAGAGCCGAAACTGCAACGCCACTATGTCACAATGCAATCGTAATTGCATTACAATTCAATCGCAATCGAAAGCATGAGCGTTTTAGTTTCTTTCGTTACAAGGCACGTGATCTCAGGTGGAATGTATGAATCATCTTTTTTTCCATCACTTATGTGATTCATTTGCTACGTTCTTTTTCTCTGACTCGCTATAGCATCCTGTCAGTTGTGACACGCACATTGCCGTACGCTTGCGTGATTCTTTTTCAAAAAATTTTTTCGTTTCATCATTTGCATTCGTATTACAACCAACTGCTCGTCGGTATGATGTTCTCGGTTGAGCTTATTATTATATTATTATCTACTCTCATTTGTTTTTGATTGAATTAACTGTTTGCACGTAATGTTTAACCTTCCCTTGTCTTTTCTTGCAACCAAAAGCTTTGTCATTTCTTTTCTTGTAAGTATAGATGTCGCTATTTTATCTTTCATTTCGATAACACCGATGTGTCTATTCTCTTTCACAGTTATTGAGTATTGAAAATTAAAGTAACTAGACTATCAATCATTTTATTAATATTTTAATTAATTTATCTGAGATTTCGTTCTTACACAGAACATTTTCAGACATAACCTTTAGTAAAAGAAAAGTTAAAAGAAGATAAAAGAATCTAAACAATATTATTTTACAACATAAAGAATTTCTTTTGTTACTTTTAAACATTGCAATGGAAGGGGGAGAAGGATAATGCATTTTCATTGGAATGTTTAAATATAACGAAAGATATTCTTTACCTTGTAATGCTATTTTTTAAATTCTTTTATTTTCTTTTAATTTTTCTTTTACTAAAATTATGTCTGAAGATGTTCTTTGTAAGAACCAGGGATGGATAAGTCAAGTCAGACACATTTTTACAACTTCAATACCTTCTAGATTTAGACCACGTAAAGTTATTATTTGTTTCAATATGAAATTCTATGCTTTTCTTTATCATAGATACTATGTAAAAAAAAAACTGCTCATGTTTTCATCATAGTATATCTGGATGGTACTTATCAAGTAAGGAAGAAAATATCCGACAGTGTTATTAGCAGTTGCATAACTAAATATAAGGACAAGAATTACTCATATGTGACCCATTTTATTAAACCAGTTAAATTTTTTTCAATTTTTATAATAACTGAACATGAATGATTCAATTTCACAAGCTGGTTTCCATCCATTATATTATTCTTCAGATATGTGTCTATTGAAAGTTCTTGTGTAAGGTCATCACCTATCGAGAGAATTCTTGCATAAAATGGTTTTATATTTCGACAACATAGGGCCAAAATATTAAGAAAGACATTATAGATGCTAACAATGTTAAAATGTAATCAGGAGCTGATCTAAAACTCTTCAATAGATTGATGTATGATTAAATTATGAAACTTAAAAGAATTCAAGCCAATGATTTGATACTTGACTTGTGTCAAGAAAAAGCTGCCTTGCCCATCTCTAGTAAGAACGAAACGTCACACAAATTAATTAAAATATTAATAAAATGAATGATAATCTAGTTACTTTAGTTTTTTCAATAATTTTCTTCCTCTCGTTCGTTGTTCTTTTTCTGTTGTTTTTCTCTTTCATGATTGATTATATAAAGGTATGATTTGTATGAGAAATGTGCGTTCTACAACATGAAGAAAAACAATGAAGCATAATTCCTTCCATACTAAGACTTTCTCTCTTAAGAAATTATCACAATCATATCGTATTCAATCTACCAATAATTGCAATGAGTATGCATAACTATGCATACATCATACAGTACCGAGAACGTTATTAATGTTGCGATGTAGTTTAGTAACACAAACATATGCCTCTTCGTTTTTTTTTCACAAAACCTAATCAATTTACTATCTTTTCTTTATTATTGTTGATGATCATCTCCTTCTAGCTAATGCAGTTACATTCATATGCATCAAACCGATTCATCCTTTGACTTGGTCACGGTTCTTTTCATCAGAAACGGTCAGAACTCGCTATTATTCAACTCCGAATGGCATTCATAAAATTGTTAATTGTGCGGTGAAAGCTATTCGTTAGAATTTCAATATCGCCTAAAACTAGTTGCGTAACAAAGAACAATTAGATAGACAATGGAAAATTTATGGGTTTTTGTGGAGAGATTTATTCTATAAATAGCAGCAGATGATAAGCAACTATTTGTAATTAACACCAAATCATTAGAGAACTAACATGTTAATATTCGAAACCTACTTGATCAAGACAAATCGAATGATGATAAGGAAAAATGCCATAGTGAACAACTAGGGAGTGAATATATATTTTTTTCTATATCAATCACCAAGTTCAGAAAGGGACTACATGAATTTTATGTCGTTGGGAGACTTTTGATGAGATCTTTGAAGAAATTCATTCTTACAGTTGAAATTTACGGACATTTCTGATAACTATTAGTGTTTCATTTGAACCATAGGTCTTATCGATAAGTATCAAATAATAGTGTACAGTTTGGCTTGCTTCACATAACCTAAACTAATGTAAGTTCTCTGACTCTTTCGAAAGTAGTTTTATTAGTACATTCATTGTAGAAATTATCAATAATGAACATTCGATATTTTTTTGTGAAAGAGGTATTATTATTCTAGATCATCGTGCTCACTAAGCTAACGAACTGGGGCAATGATACAATTACAGTTTAATCTGATCTTTTTTTTCAAGCAATATTCTCAATCATATCTCTAGGTTGTGTCATTCTCTCGATACCCATAGTTGCATTGAATAAAAGAAGATAGATATAATTCATACACCGTTTATCTTTTTCAGACTGTTGTTTATAGAATATTCGACATCTTTCTCGGATAAATCATACTCTAAACACACATCTGGCAATGTCTGAAACAGCACACGTTTCTACAGATGAAGATGATCCAGTGAGTCATTATGTACAAAATACTACCATAGTAACGAATATAAGTCGATCTCACAAGTAATTAACTAACTATTGTTAGATTAATTTCGATACTATTTTCGTCTATGTTCTTAGTTCTTCGTGGATTGGACACTTTGTGAAGGACAAAATTGCTTTGACTTTTGCACAATACATTCATTTCATTGTAATTTGTATTGGACTTGGTTTGATCGATGATGATACTGCTGCTTTGATCGCACAAACATTCTTGAATATGCAGGGAAGTACTACAGATTTTAATACTGAAATCTGTAGTTTGCAAGCTTTTGTTGATGTGTACAATCTGCTTTTAAATATTCTCATTGTTGATCAAAATGGAATAAAAATAAAACAATTGAATGGTTCGAATGAGCCGGGGCCACGACAACAGCAGTGTGCTTTTATCCTTCTTAACAAAGATCATCGGAATTATTTTCCACTTTCTATGATGAATAAAAATAATTGCAAGCATACAATCTTCTGTAGTGATGATGATTACATTTCTGAGCGATATAAGGAACTCCTCCAAAGTGTCAGTCAATTGCGTAAGTTCAACACTTGACCGGCATTGTGTCTATGGAAATTTTTTTCTAATAGAAAGAAGTAGTCACAAGCAACTGTATCTATCGATAAGCAATGACAGTTCTGGCATGTAGCTTACAAAGAGTTTGTTGACATTATTCTCATAGCCAGTTATCTTATTTTTCAGTTATCAACACCGGAAATAACTTCGATGATCAAAATGAAACAAAACTTCCATATGGTCAAGTTGCTGGAGAAGCAGAAAAATCCGTCACATCACCTGATTTGTGGATAGACGATGACAAGCTGTGTCTTGACTCTTCAAGTAAGACATATGCCTTAAAATCAACAAAAAGTTTTCTTTTCCATCGCTAATTCATGATCAACTCCTCTTTTAGAACATTCTCCTCTTCTCTTTTCTGTAGTTATATGTATACATATATTCTCTGACCAAAGTATACTAAACACTCTAGTATTTCAATTATTTGGTTTCTGCATTGTCGTTTAAGCTCATATATACAGCATAGATAGATATTCGATTATTCAGCACATGCTGACGTTTCAGCTCTATAGAATGAAAACTTATTGAGGAAACTATAAGTATACCTTATGTGCTCATCTGACATTGAAACCAGAACTTTGCGTTGTATTATGTTTTCTATAATTTTTTATTCCATTTCGAATTCGAATTAATAGTTAGTTAACTAGCATACTCGGCTAGAGAAGGAGAATATGTTAAGCTAGCTCCTTCTCTAGTCGAGTATGCTAATTAACTATCAATGCGAATCTCAAATGAAATAAAAAATTATAGAAAAAATAATAAAACGGGAAATTTCAGTTTCAATGACAGATGAGCACATGAGGTAAACTTGTAATTTCCTCAATAAATTTTCACTCTATAGAGCTGAAACGTCAGCATATGCTGAGTAATCGAATATCTATCTATGATATAACTGTGATCGTAAACGACAATAGTATAAGATGAAATAATCGGAAAAATAAAAAGTTCAGTTTACTTTGGCCAGATAAATATATATATGTATATATGCATGTGTCTTGATATACTTGCACATGATGTTTATTTCAAAAGGAAAGAATAACAACTAACTTAAACTGTAAAGCTGTATCTATCTGTAAAGAATTAGGAAACAAAGAAATCACTTAGAGATCAAAGGAAATAAAATAAGATACAGAATAATATTTATATAGTGAATATGTATGTCTACGTGTGATATCACTAGCACATCCTCCATATTGCTAACAGAATGTTTGATGTAGGTCAGAATCGAAATTTGTATGTTATCATCATCAATAAATATAGCACCTCAACATATAAAAACTCGATATACGATTAAAAGTAAGGCTATAGAACGATCAAAGGGAAGTCCAGTCGTTTACAATTGTCTTGCAGCTGGTAACCACCTATCATTCTTTTTAGATCATTTCAAACATCTGCTTTGTTTTTCAGGTATTTTTCTTTTGCACTCAGTTCAAGTCTTCAAGAAGTGATAGGAAAAATGTCAGAAGCGTTTGTAAGGTAACTGGCACTCTTTAAGACTAGTACACGATAAAATAGGTCTTTATGTCGTCCCAAGAAAGGGTCCATGGTGTGGTTAAATTTTCATCAAATAACAGCTCTTTGATTCAGCAGTGTACCAAAGCTCCCATTCAACCAGATGGTAAAAGTATTTGCGGATTCTTTAGACATATTTTCTTTGAAAAATCGGTAGAGCAGTTATAGGATAAGTCATTTCTCGCCGACATTTGTTTATATAGAATGCTGGCAATCCTTTTTCTCGTGCCATTAATTCTTTTTTTCTTCCTTTATTGAACTACATTTGTCTACTTTTTAGATGATTCAGCAATGCATACGATGTTTGTTAAACCAACGAAGAAGACGCATGAATTTCGTCGACGAGAGGTCCTTGGTGATGGTTCATGTTTGTTCGCGTCCGCTCGATATGTACTGGGTATACATAATACGAAGACGAGTGATGCTTTACGTGGCGAAGTAGCCGATCAAATTCGCCAATCTGAGGAGCTTCAGAATACTGTTCGCAATCACCAACCCGATTGGACCATCGATCAGTACTGTAATTGGATTCGAGAACCAACCTCTTGGGGTGGCGAAATTGAACTTCGCGCCTTGACTTTGCTCTATAACAAGTTATTCTGTGTGGTTCACGTGGCAAACCATAACGGTGATTGTTCAGTAAACATCCACCGCTTTGGTGAGGATTTGAAGAATATTACTCAATGCGTTTACTTTCTTTACACTGGGGGCAACCATTATGATCCGTTGTTTCTCTCAAAGAAAGATGGTTCCAACTGTCAACAAACAATTTTCAATCGCGAAGATGCTGTTGTGCAAGAGCTTCTACGCAATTTTATTCGATGCAGACTAAATGCTACTAGTAAGCGATTGATAATAAGCATCAAAACATCGAACTCCTTTTCTAGATTGGAAGGCACTTCGATTCGATAATGGGTGCAATACTCAACCGTGCGAATTGCAGTCGAAATCAACTAGTAAGACATCCGAGCTAGAAAACTTCGCTTTTATTTGTTCTTTTAACAATTGTAGCAAACTGTATGACTACATCGATTTCAGATGGGACGAAATCGTTGAAGCGCAAGCGAACAGGTAGATATATATTCATATTCCTTTGAAATTATCAGGGTCGAAATATGAAATATAATTTCTCCGATTCTTCTAAAACTCATATTTATAATTTGATGGTGTTTATCAATTTTTCCTCAATTAAACTCAGTACATATTCTTGAACAATTGTGACGCGGTGAAGACTTTGATAGCTCGATACAATGAGCCTAAGCTAACGATAGAACATCATCATCTAACTCTCGAGTCAGATTCTATAGTTTTTATACTCTGCTCGAGCATTACTTCTTTGTCATTCATGATCAAGGCAATGAATTTTGGACCACACTACTGATGGACTATATCACCGCTCATGCTTATTGAACTTAATTTTTGTTGATGAATTACAAAATGTGAGAGAGATTGGAAATCAGGAATTAGGACTTAGTTTCTCTAATCATATGAATGAGTAAAATGAAAAACACTAACACACACATGCCCACTTTTAACATAAACGATGCCAATTCTCAACAATACCCATTTTTTTATCTTAGCGGTTGAAGTAAACCTCTTTGAGTCAAGAAAAATATTCATCTGTGCTACTACTGTTTTCGTCTTCGATTTCATAGTTTTTTGCGTAGATATTCTCCTCTCCATTTGATGAATTCTATTGATTATACTTAGGAAAGTTCTATACAGTGCTCAACGAGTATTTTTCTAACTTTCGTCTTCATATTGAATAGAGCTGGAAAAAAATGACTTAGCTTTAAATTTCGTTCAAGCCTCAATCGTTCCTGACTCTTCTACTTCAATGAATGTTACAAACAGCCCGAAGACCAACACCAATTGCCGCATTGGCAGCACAACACCGGCACATTTTAGATACGGGGCACCAAATATAAAAATTGGACCTAATAATGAACAACGCTGCCGTTATACTAAAGAACTAGACAAAGCATTTGTACATGGCATGGGTGGTACAAAATACAGGCATCAACCTATGCAAGTGGAAGTAAGATTTTTGGCTACATTATTTAAAACTTATTTGCTAGATTCAGGTTCTTACAACTGCAAGCGAAGACAATATGTATCTTGGCATTGAAGTTCTTACCTATAACAATCAACCTCATCTCTCTAAAGTCATTCTACCGGCGAACACAAAATTAAATGTTCACAATGATAAATTCTCAAAGAACGCGGCCAACAAGTTGGAGTACTTCCAATTCAATGAAAGCAATCTGGACGATTACTTTCATCCGATCAAAAAACATATTTACTCGAAGATTAGAAAGCCTGGTTTTAAAAAGTAATTCTAGCTTTTTTGGCACTCCATTTGTGCATGTATTCTCCACATATTTGATTTAGTGTATCGATTCGTATGATCAAGCTGTATCAAAATCAAGATGATGGAATCACCAAGAAACTGATTCAAGATAGACAACTAAATCTATGCAAATTCGCTTTCTGGCTGTGTGAATTGCAAAATGGAGACTATGTACGTGTTTCTCAAATATCGTACTCTCAGATTATACGAGAACGTAAGTTGTACAAACTGCTGTTTAACCTATTTCACTCTTCTGTATTTATAAAAACTGCGTATAAGAAACATTAGCAGTAGATTTTAATTTCTTTCAGTAAACTATCATTTCTTATTATTTGCTAATCGTGAGCATACTCGAGTGAAATAGAGCACGTCTAAGTAGCCAAAAAACAATAGTCATCAGTTTTTGTAACAATTATTCTCCAGGAAAAACAATGTAAGTTCTCATTAAGTACTTTGAAACCGAACAACAATAAAAACTGAGTTCTTTCAAATCTTCGCTCAGTAATGTTCGCTATTCCTCAGACATGTATATCCAAATGTAGCTCAACAAGCTCTAACCGATGAGTGAACACTATTGGAGATTTCGGCAAACTTATTTTGAGTCCATTGAAGGTCATAGAAAACTATCGATCGAGGAGAGGATTCACTCAATTCCAGTTGTCCTGGTAAAAATAATCGTATTATTTCTTCCTTCGCTTCTTTCGTAAAAAAGCTCTCAGAAAACCCTAACTGTTCTTTCCACAAAATTCGCCTTCTGAATAAGCCGATCCTTGCATAGAATCATCAAAAAGCTGTTAGCGCAATCCCTTGTGAGATTAAAAATGTGAAACACGATGTAGCTGCTATAGCCGATGTTCTAAAAGCTGTTGTTTTTTATGCATATTGGTGTACATTTCTTCATAATGGTTTACCTTACATTATAGACTTTCAACAGGATAATACTCCATATATGCTCCAACCATATGTTAACTATGCATCATCCCTGATGATTCTTGAAGTTTTCTATTACAGTCTATAATGACCCCTGAGGCCTGTCTGTCACGGTCTGTGATGGGTCTGGAGCCCTGTCTGTCACGATCTGTGATGGGTCACGTGAGTGTCTGCCACTGTCTGTGGGGAAAGGAAGAGGGGAGTGCAAATTTCTGCCCCTAAACACTTCAACACTCCTTTCAGATCGTGTTTCACAAAATAAACAAAAAATCTACTGTATATATCATTTTAGCATCGACTAATGATAAAGTTGGTGAAGAAAATGCCGAGCTAACCGACGATGAAAATGAATCATTCGAATCCATCGGCGATCTACGTATAACACAGAAGGATGTTGACACTCTTAACGGTCTCAACTGGCTCAATGATGAAGTGGGTCATCATTTTTTAAACGATACTTCTAAAATTAAAGTACCATTCTAGATTATTAATTTCTATCTGGCTCTAGTAGCAGGTCGCAGTGGAGTCCATGGAAACCCGCATGTTTATGCATTTAGTACTTTCTTCTATACGAAATTAACTAACGATAGGCCAGAACATGCCAGTTGGGTTCGATATATGGACAAGGTTGATTTTTTCAATTATGATCTTATTCTCATTCCGATTCATCTTCACAATCATTGGACATTGACTGTAGGCATTTTTGTTTTGTTCAAATCCACTTCTCTTTGTTCATATTTTCGTTTTCTTCTAGACAATCGATTTTCGATCCAACTCCATTTGTTATTACGATTCGTTTGGTGGTAAGAACAACAAGTGTCTAGATTTGATCGCTGCCTTTGTTAAACATATGTATGCCACTAACAAGCCCAAAACATCGGCACCAGTCAATTGGACTGTAGAATATGGATGGGGAGTTCCGCAACAGACCAATAAAAGTGATTGTGGAGTGTTTGTATGTCAATTTGGAAAATATCTTGCACAGCAATGGCCCTTGGATTTCTCTCAAACAGACATGCCTCAATATCGAAAGAAAATGATCAAAGAAATTAGTTCAAATGAACTATTCGTTTAGTGTATGTCGTTAATAATTTTTTCTTTCTCTCGTAGTTCTGTACTAATTGTATTAATTTGATTGAAAAACAAAAAAATTAGACGCTCGACTGCAAATGATCTCTGGTATACTACATCTGCATCTCGTTGCCAACATGTATGGCAGCTGATTGCTAGTGTATTAGTTTTTCATTCTTTTTTTTCAGATGAGTAAAACTCAAGTAATATTAATTGAATTGTTTAGTAAAACTGAAATTTCAGTAACAGAACGTGGTTCATCTTCATCTTCAATAGAACCAAGCCAAAATAGATAATTCGAATGGATTGGTTCTGAAGAGAATTGCTCAAAATGGTTCTGTAATGATCATGTAGACATGCATCATGAAGAAAATGAAAATGAAAATTTTCATTGATTTCTGCTAAAGTAGATTGTTGATATGTACTTTTTTTTCGCAAATATATTCCTATTCATGTCAGATTAAGGAATAATCGTCTGTATAGTTGTTGTTTATTTAATCTTATGCATTTATTTTATATTTTTGATTAGATATAAAAATGAACACGTTTATTTTTCTAGATTATATGATAAACTTCAATCTCTACGCTTTGCTTGCGAAAGTTAAGTGTACATGTACATTTTTACTAAGTCAAATAAAGTGTACAAAAACATTCCATTCGGAACCTTGCATCTAACTCCGTCGCAAGTAAGGATAAACAAAATAAAAGAATTTTTTTTTCCATATAGATTATTCAACGTCTGATCTAAATAATCAAGTTATGAATTTCAATGAGAGAGTGTCTGATTTTCATAAACTTTTAAAAGGTTTGCGATATGCTGCACTGTCATAAACCCTTGTTAATGGTATATAAAATAGTATTTGGTTTTCATACACCCTCATAAGGATTTAGGTGTACAAATATTCAATTGAACCAATATCTATTCTTCTTCATAGGGTAAATTTACCAATTGACTAGATTAGTTGTATCTCTTATGGATAAATACAATAAAGACAAATTATATCAATATATCTATTCAATTATCATCTGTTATATTAATTTATTCAAAACCTCCTTTCTATATCAAATATAGGCAAATATATTGTCTTTATTTACAATACTTTTAATAAAAACTGGAAGAATATTTCATTTTAAACAACTTATACAAGAAGTAAAATATAGATGAATGCAATATTTTAAACGTAGTTCTCAATAGTTCTTGTTTGACTCTAGACTTGTGACAGTTTCCGATCGAGGAATGACACTATTGGAAACTGAGGCCTAGAAGAAAATCAGATGTTCAATAACTCAACTCGTGCGAAAAGAACTTGGAACTGTTACACATCTACTGTCATATCTCATTATTTTATCTTCGAGCTTTTTTTTTGTCAACAAGATAGAACACAAAGATAACACCTTTTAAGAAAAGTACAATTTATTAAGACTCTTGTCAGTTCGACTAATACTATGAAATATAATATTATTTCATAATTTGATCAAAATCAAATTCATAATTCTTTTCTTTATTTTCACAACGAAAAACATACATATCCATTCTAGATATAAATAGAAAATCTTCACTTGCATAATAGAAAAAAGTTTTTTTTTTCGCTCGAATAAGCGAGAATGATATCAGTATCGAAGTAGTTGTATTGTTCTTAATAAAAAAAACAATACATTTTTGTAAAAGATGTTTGTCTCAACTCACACGATGCCTTGATAGTCATTCATAAGAACAAATGAGGGATGATCTTTACTCTCATCTATTGCAAATACAAAATATAATGTTTTTCATATTTTTTAACAATGAAGAAGATCATACTACACTTCTGTTTGTCAAAAAGATTGATAAAACAACTTATATAATAAAAAATTTTAAAGTTTATAATAATTTAATAACAATTTTTCCAAATCCACCAGTTCCTTGTTTAATTTTTTCAAGTGCATATTGTGCTTCTTCAAGTTTAATTACTTGATTAATATATGGTTTAAGTTTTCCTTCTTCAATCCATTTTGCACCTTGTATTAATGTATTTTGAAAAAATGTTTTTATTTGTGTTCGTTCTGATCCTAACCAATAACGTCCAATATCAGCTAGAATAAATTTTGCTTTTCGTTCAGTAACACTATTGATTTCTTTAGTATTATCTTGTCCAAAACGACGAAGAACAATCCATGAACCACCTTCTTTAACTGTTTTTATTGTTTTTTCATAGTTTGATGGAAGATATGTAGTATCATAAGCAATATCAACACCTTGACCTTGAGTAAGTTCTAATACACGATCGACAATATTATCTGTAGCATGATTTATAATATCTTTTATTTTATATTGTTCTTTAAGAATTTTAAATCCTTCATCTTTCGATACTGATGTTATTATTTGTTTAGCTCCTCGAATTTGTGCAATTTGTACACTAAAATGACCAACACCACCTGAACCACCAGGAATAAAAATAGATGTAGATGAATCAATATTAACTTGACGAAGTCCATCCTATTAAATATAATAAATAATTATCTTTTACAAATAATTATTAAAACATACCATAGCAGATGAAAATGCTATACCAAGTGTTGCTGCATCTATATGACTAATATTTGCTGGTTTATGGATTAATGTATCAACATCTCCAACCGAATATTGTTGAAGTGCTCCTCCTCCATAACTTGAATTTAAACTTAAAACTCCAAAAACTTCATCACCAACTTTAAAATCTTTCACATTTTTTCCAACAGCAACAATTCTACCACTAACATCAAAACCCGTCACAGCTGGTAATTTTATATTAGCAAAATTTGTTGCTGCCATTTTATAATCGATTGGATTAAGAGCAACAGCATGGTTTTCAATTAAAACTTGATTATCATCTAATTTTGATGGATCAATAACAGGTGCTGATGTTGTCCATTCAAATGGATTTTTATCACTAACTCTAACCCATTGTAATGCTGATTGACTAGTTGGAATAGTTTGTTCAATAGATGACATTTTATCTACAGCAAAATAATGTTTTTTTTTTCATATTATTTATATATTATATTACAAGCAATTGTATATACATCATCGTGCAGAACACAACGATGAATCATAACAAACGATTACATTATTCAGAATACACTCTATTTTATCTTTGTTGACACAGAACGAAAGAAATACATAAAGCATACCCTTGTCTATAGATAAGATTATTTAGACGTTTCAATTATAACCATTGTATATAAGAGAAAGTTAAATAAATCATATAAGAATACGATATGTTGTTTCTTTTGAAACAAGAATATAAAATAGTTTCTATACAAATCAAAATAAAACAACATTATATTGAAGCTCTTAGATGAATAGTCAAAACAAAAAACAACTTGACTCGATACTTCGAAAAGAAAATAGAATTAGAAAAGATTAATAACAATTCTTTTTAAATAATATTAAACAATCCTATGATAGCATTGTATTAGTATAAATCTTAATTTCTAAAAATAATTCAATGAAAAATTAATTTTTCTTAACATAGTTCACATAATCTTTTCAATAAAATCTATCAGAAAACATTGATGTTAAATAGATTATTGAAATTCTACATTGTAAGTTTAGTTTTAAAAAGTAAAATTTATTTTCATAATTCATAATAAACGAAAACAACATTACTTTTCGTTCTTTCAATATTAAGATCATTTTTTCGTAAAAATTTCTTCGGAACACTTGAGAATGAAAAGATTTGTTAGTTCATCATAAGAGAAGATTAATTTTATTAGCTAAATAATATTATCAAATTCAAATTTATTTTTGGTAATTACGCATTATTAAAAAAACAAAAACTAAGTTCAACAATAGATGATTTCCAAGACATCAATCAAACTAGTAACTGGTATATGTCTTCTACTCACACGTTATTCTTTGATTGTTCTTGGTCTTGTTAATAACATATTGAATGGAGTTGTTTTTCGACGATCGAAAATTCATATTTATTTTTTTGAATTTCGACTAATTACGTCAATCTTATATGAATCTTTACAAGTCCATTTGTTCGAATGTTTTCTACATTTGGATTAGATTTATTAGAAGATATTAATACACTATGTAAAATATGTTGATCGATTTCTTATTAGTAGCGTTCATGTCATATATCATTATTTAAGTTTATTACATAACCTTAATCAAATAGTAGATGTAACACTACGATTGTTTATTGTCTCACTTTTGCCGATATATTCTACTGTCTAAATGCGATAGAAATATCTTTAGAAGTAGTTTGCTTTTTTAGTGTTACTCGATATAAAAACAAATAAATCTCAAAAGAGATTTGACATATAAAATACTTTCATTTCTTGCAATTGTACGAGAATGTTTTGAATACAAAGATAATATAATCATTCTTGTTACAAAGGTTTTCCTTCTTCAAATAACGTTTAGATTTTTGTAAGCCTAATATAATCAAATGCGTTGTAATTTTAGATTAAAAAAAAAGCGTATCTTTCATTTTTTTTCTCAAAACTGAAGCATTTTCTCTTTTATAATAATGTTTTGCGATGATATTTCTGCTTTGCCTATTCTGTGCAAGCATATTTGGTGTAGTGTCTTTTTACTATAACAGTATATATTTTCATTAGGGATGCAACGATGACGGTTGTCTACTAATGAACCGTATGTACTGGTCTGTACGTATTACAATTCCTGTGATTAGCAATGTACCAATTCGAATTTTGATCTAATCGAAATCGGAATTGGTTAAAGATGGGAAGTTATTGTTATATAGGTGTTTACTTTACCAATTAATAGGCAATGAAAAAATTCCTGGATTTATTCTTTCGTCAAAGGAAAGTTATTAAGCGAAACTAGCAATTTTTTAAAAAGTTTGACAAAGCTGTCTTCAAGTTCGAAAAATACAAATTTGCAACCAGTTTCTCGGAATTATGTACTTGATTTCTCAGTCAAAAAATACTTCTTTCGTAAAAAGCTTTCGTCGAATTTTATAATAAAAATCGTTATTTTTCTATAACAATCTTGTTATCACGAGAGAATCAAAGGTAGGAATTTTCCATTATCCAGTAAATGGTAAAGTAAGTGTCTGTGCAACAGTAATTTTTCACCTCTAAACAATTCGAATTTCGACTAGTTCAAATTTCAATGTGTCCAAACTCTATTTCAACTAATTCCGACTGATTGTTAGGGTGTGGAGTATGAGGTATGTAGTTGGTCTTGGTTCGCCCACAACTTTTCTAAATTCATTCTAACATTACTTCGGCAATAGTTTAGAATTAATTTTGTTTTAATTGTCTCTCTTAAGATGAATTAAGACGAGTGTCATCTGATGATCTCGATGGTACATTTGAAATGTTATTGCGTCTGAAAGCAACTTGAAAATCAAGTAAAACCGGAAGTTGGAACAATGATCGTTTTCGCTGGACTGTAAATGATGGTCGTAATGGATGCCATTATAACAATTCCGTTTTAGAGTGTTTTGTAAATGATCATCGGAAATAAAGCCGTTTTTCACAGGTTTCGACTCGTTTACGGCCTGTTACGAAGCGTTTTATTCCGCCTGGGTGTATGCATAGACATATATATATATTATTTTCGAAAGTTGGAATACAGAATTGGCTTTTGATTTGCTCTAATTGAAAACGCATTAAAAGCCCTAGAGGATCGGAAACCTTCACTGACTTTTTCGGATTGTAACGTTCCTTGATGAATTTTAAGGTTTTTGGATAAGCTTTCGAAGGGCCGAAAAATCTGTATAGGTTTCCAAGAGTACGCTTTTTTAAGAATGTGGGTGAAGTTATGAACCAAGAAAAAACCAAGCTCACTTCACCCTCGAAAACTCAACAGAATGGGCTGTTTAATTATTATATTCTATGTACTGATTCACAACCTGACTCTTTGAGTAAAAATTTGGGAATCAAAATCTTCAGTAAAGTAAATTAAGAAAAACGTTTTTTTTTTTTTGAAAGTTAGTACGAGTAAGTATATCATTAGTTTCTGATTTTTATTCTAGCAGTTTGAGAATTATTCAAAGACAAAAAATATCAATTCAAACCAATTATATTCGAGAGTTCATATTATCGAATTTAAGTCATTGAATGGATTCTTCTGATCATTATTTATTTGAAATAAAAAATAGAAAAATTATGAATCCTTTTTCTCACATCACGTTAGAAACTTCAAGTGTCACAATAGATTTTGATACTTCATAAAAGAAGGTTAGTGTATTTTAGATAATTTTAAACTATGTAGATAGATTAATTTGTTTGGCACCAGATTTATATGCTAATTATTATGGTAAATCGAAACGTTTCATTCGGATGACATTAACTTCAGTACTCCTGCTTCTTTTTACTGTGGAAGTAACATTGCGAGGTATGGCCGATGTAGAATGCATAGCCGGTGCCACTGATCGTTTCATTTTACTCACACTAACTGAAAATGTTCGTTTCGGTGCTGAATGTAATTGATTATTATTTTGTTGAATAGAAAAACTTGATTTAGGTACTTCAATATGACGAACACTCAAAACCGATGATCCTGACCTTTCCACTTTTGTTTCGCTATTCCGTGGTACTTTTGTCACCGAAACTTTCGATAATTTTATATCAGGAGTTTCATTTTTCTTTTCAAATGGAGATTTTATCGTTTCGTTTCCATTGTTTGATAATGGTCTGCTAATTCGACTGACACGAACCATATTAACGGCATCGGTGTTTCTTGTGCGAGATGGTTGTTGATTACTAGTATAGCTAATCGAATCATTGCCATGTGATATTCTACCCGGTGAATCATGTGTACTAATTAAACTACTAATCTTTGATTTTCGGTCTTCTGCTAGTGCTGAAAATGGTGTTAATAAACTGGAACTTGATGATGATTTTTGATGAAAAAATGGATCCTTTATTACTGGCTGCTTTTCTTCTTCTTTTTGCCGATGACGTCGACGCCGACCACCAGCACCACCACTGGTAAACAGTAAATTGAAGATATTACTGAATTAAAACAAAAATAACAAGATAGAAAAAACTTACTATAACCGCCACCAACAGCAACAACACAAGGCTAATAAACCTAAAAAACCTATTACTGCTAGTGCTATTAATATTGGTTCGTAGACTTTGTTTGAGTTTTTTGTTGTAGAATCAGAAATAGTACTGGTAGTAGTGGCTGTAGAGGTGGTGGCGCTAGTACTGCTCGTAGTACTTGAACTGCTCGTTGAAGTAGTATCACTTGTGCTAGTGGTACTGCTCGTAGTACTTGAACTGCTCGTTGAAGTAGTATCACTTGTGCTAATAGTACTGCTCGTAGTGCTTGTGCTGCTCGTAGTACTTGAACTGCTCGTTGAAGTAGTATCACTTGTGCTAGTGGTACTGCTCGTAGTGCTTGTACTAGTCGTTGAAGTAGTATCACTTGTGCTAGTAGTACTGCTCGTAGTACTTGAACTGCTCGTAGTACTTGAACTGCTCGTAGTACTTGTACTGCTCGTAGTACTTGAACTGCTCGTAGTACTTGAACTGCTCGTAGTACTTGTACTGCTCATAGTACTTGAACTGCTCGTAGTGCTTTTACTAGTCGTTGAAGTAGTCGTGGTGGTCGTTGTTCTAGAAATTAAAAAGTTATAGAGACAAATTTTTACTTCAAAAGAGAAGGAGAAGAACAAAATCAAGACACTGACAATGTTGTATCACCAGGACCTAAATATTATGGTTTTAGAATATGAAAGAGAAAAATTTTATTTTACATGAAAGAACAGTTCCAGCGGCAACAACAGTAAATGTAGTGCAATATTGATCTGATTGTATATTTGCACTAAAATGAGATCGAAATATAGATGATCGTGCCTTCTTATAATGAAACACGAATTATCACCTGTCTGTAGCCACGGCACAATAGACTTGCGAACCCAACTGCAAAACATTCGGTGTCCATGTTTCAGTCACTGTCCAAACATTATTTGTTCCATTTCGTATAAGACTACCTTTGTACATATACAATGGTGGCATGGTAAAGACATCTTTTACAGTGGTTCCTGAACATCCTTGTGTAACTGTCAAGGTAAAATTAAATTGAACGCCAACTTGGATGGGCGAACAATCCGGTAATGTTGAAGTAATCGTTGGTTTTAATGAACAAGTAGATGTGTTGACAATAAGAACTAGAAATTGTATCGGAACACTACTCAATGATATGTTTGTTGTTTTATCGTAAAAATCTTCAACCATTAAAGTAAGTGCATAATAGTCTCCAACAGTTTTATTAGCGCTGTTAAATGTTATTGTACAATTTTCTTCTTCTAGTATGCTACCAGGAGCCATCTGACAGACGTCACCACATTCATCAAATGTTGTAGTATCTTGTGCCCAACGACATCTATTGAAATAGAAAAAGAAAAAGAAAAACGTTGGATAAAAAAACATCGATAATAAATAGATTACTTTAAATAATCATTGTCAGCATCAATTACTGGAATTTCAATATTAGTAAGAGTATTGACTGGCACTTGAATAGCTAGATAAAAAAGACAGATCTAGCAACTATTACCTGAATTCGTGGACAACATTAATAGAAACATTATACGAAATTGAATAAATCGCATCGTATAGGATTCATTCAGATCTTTCTTCTCAACAAAATTTGGAAGCCATCGAATCTATCAAATTCTGAACTGAATTATACTAGGAAAGACTTATTAAAATCTTTTTCATAATGAACTAGATCTCCATGATGATCGGTTTTCATATATTACTAATTTTTTTGTTAAAAGACCCACACATCGGAATTCTTGATCTGTACATGATCGATGATTTTCTTTAAAAATATTGCTATATATAGGAATTGACTATTCTACCTACGACCATAGAACAACCTATTTATTTTATTGCAATATATCAGGGCCTTTGTATCGGTGCTTTTGAGATCATTCTCGTGATGATATTTGTTACTCTTTTTAGGCCTCTCTGGATGTGACATTTATATTTCTCTGAGAGCTGATGAGGATTATAACTCGTAATGATAAACTCATTCTCATCATATAATACTCATAAATATTAGACACGTGAGTCTTCCCGTAATGAGTCATTATTTTACTAGCATTGCGAAGAAAAATACGGATGTTCTCCAAAACAATATTGATTAAAGAATATTTCATGTTCATTAGTGGAGTATCTATACTATTTGACTCTGAAATTAGCTGAAGAGTCCTTTACATGTACTTGAAAAAATGCCTATGAATCCAATACTTGTCACTAGCAATTATTATAATCATGGATGCAGACCATCGGATGTTGGCATTTAACCACTATCGTTATTTTTCGTTAACATGTAGCTACAGTACTCGTCGAGTCCTCTTATTCCAAACGAATCGAACTCACTCGAAAAATTATACCTGAAAAGTGTATTTCTTTTAAAATATTGCACGAACAAAGAGACATAGAATCTCGTTGAAGTTAAACAAAATGGAAAACATAGCGAAAAAAGAAAATTTTATCTATACATACGTGAAATAATTGTTGCAACTGGTGGTGTATTAATGAATCCATCTGATCTAATTGTCAAATCCACACAACATCCAATAGACCAGTGAGCAGAATCACTAAAACAACCAGTTTGTGTTAATGTTGTTGATCGTTTCGAACGTTCTCGTTTTTTTCTGCCACTTGAAGAACATACTGTTGATAATACTTTTATCCAAGATTTGTCTCGAAATGCTACACAAAATTTCGATCCTGCTGTAATATTTTGCAATGTTGAAATTTGACCAGAGCTGGAATCAATAAGTGAACTGTAATCTGTGCAATATTCATCAATTGATGTGTTAACATAACCACCACAAGAACTAGTAACGCAAGTGAGATAACTATTGGAAGCAGGTATTTTAGGTGTTTGATTTAAAATTATACTTTGATTACAGTAGGTAATGCCAGAACCCCATGGACCTATCCAAGATCGCTTCCATTGATAGGATTGCGTAATCATTACAGAAACATGTGTACCTGTTGCATGTTTATCCATTGGTTTCCATGTTACCGTTCCACCATAGAAATGCTTTAATTGAACAAACAAAAAGTTCCAGAAAAATACTAAGATAAAAAGAGGGATAATCGATATCATTTCGTTTTATCTAAAAATAGAGATAATGTTAGTATGAAGATCATTCACTCTTAAAAACTTATGACTAATTATGAACAGATATGCAATTGTTAACGATAGCAAGAATAGAAAAATACATTGTTATATTTTACATATACAAATTACTGGTTTAAAGTATAGATAAAATGATGACAAAAAAATTTTTGACAGAAAATTCGCTGCAATGAAACATTATGATTGTTGTCTTGCTCAAGTGATGATCCTGTTTCGATCTCAGGTTAACCTAAATATCCTTTTTCACTTACTAGAAATCTCTTTTGCATACAAATGATCCTATGATTTCTGCGAGTCTTTGTTCCGATGAACAAATACTCTATATTAGGTAGATTCTTCGAAATTCAAAAGAACTTTGTAACTAAATTACCTTTGTCGAATTAATAAAATTTCATCTTTTTAGAACATTAGGAAAAACCTAATCTCAAAAAAAAAAAACTGACGAAGATTCCAAATATCTTATAATGTATGAGTTTCGTTTGTGGGAAAAAAGCTATTCATACTTGATATAATCCTTCGATGCTAATGAATGCTTCGATGTCCAATCAATAAATAAATGCAGAGATGCTTTTTCGTTTTCAATAATCGTATTATTATAAATTCAGAAGAATAATAAAATTTTTATATGGATTCTTTCAATAAATAAAATAAAACAGAATCTAACAATATTAATCTAGCTGCGTAGTATTCGAATTTAAAATAGTTCAAGGTTTCATTATGCTAAGTGAAATGTGAATTATTTCTGTATGAATAAAACAAGTTTTTGATGTTTGTTGGCAGCGTCAAATGGTGAGTCCGATATGATGAAGATGAAAATAATTTTTTAAACAAATCTTCTCCTCTTCTATTCAATACTCAAACGTACAAGAATTACAAACAAATATGTTCGATTGAATTCTCATCTAAGAACAGCAAGATAGTTATCAATTAATTTATATTATTTCTTCGTCATTTCAAAGACATAAGATACTTTTTAGTGAAAGAAATGACAAGCTCATAAATATTTGCCCAAAACCAATGGAATCACTCAGTTTCATAGTTACATCGAAATTTATTCTTTTTAGTGTTGACAAAAAACTCAATTTTGAATAGAGAATATTACTATATTATGAGAATGAGTGACTTCATGAGAAGCTATAAAAATAAGATTTAATTATATTAAAAATACAATCGAAATCCATATGTCTTCTCTCATCATGAAGACCATACGAAGCATCTCTTGTTGTTTTTATTTTCGAGCGTTTATAGCAACAATCTTTTTAATGCTGTTTTTCTCTCTGCTTACTCCTCAGTTCTTGTTACTGTTAGAAAGTATTTTCTGTTATAATTATTTGTATTGATGCTATTTACGATATGGATGAAATATACAGCAAATGACAGTGACACCATTGCAGAATATTTCCGTGACCTAGTTTTTCTTTGCTCTCAATGGTAACTAAATTCTTTTTTGTTAATTGAAGACAATTTCTCTTCTGTTGTTAGTGCTTTTATTTATTTATTTTTCTCTTTGTGACGTTTCAACACACGAGGATGGGCGTGGATGTAGAATGTAGGTATGAGTGTAGGTGTGATTATTCATTCCTTTCACACGTACACTCACGTCCATCCGACCTTTTTTGCATTGATAGGGAAGATTTACTTATCTCGATTTTTCCACATGCATTATACTTCTTGTATCGACATACATAGTCTCTTAAGTTTTACTGACAAATTTAGAAAATTGTGTTTGTGACATTCACGTCTATCTATTCGTTAAATATTTTCGTAATACGCCAATCTGTCGGTGGTCAAAATTTCTTCATTAAAACATCTTTCGATCTAAATAAATCTAATAAATTACATTCAAATACAAAGCTATAAAATATATATCATTTTTATAGGCAATAATGAATATGCACAATAAGCTCTTTGTTTTGATCACAAAAAGCATTGTTTCACATATATAGTTCTTTATTTCAACCTAGAGACAGAACAAAAGACAAAGAAAGTATTGAGTACTTTCCAGTAGAAGTTGAGTAGTGATGATTGTCTCGAAATTTGAATTATTACCAAATGAGATAATAATTGAATGTTTGGAATATTTGTATATTTTTCATATTTTTTATTCATTTGATGGATTAAACTATCGTTTTAATAAACTTATTCGAAATATACCAATACATTTCAATTTTCATCATGTTCGTAAGAGAACTTTTGATTGGTTTTGTCAATAATTGTTATCATCCCCAGAAATGAAACAACAAATTTATTCATTACATTTATCAAATAAAGATACATGTAGACAAATCGACACATTTCTATCATTTCTTCCACTTAATGAATTATCTCATTTACAAACATTAATTTTAACTCAAATTGAAAAAGAAAATATTATTAAATTAAAATCTATGTTAGCATTATCAACTAATTTATTATCTTTTAAATTAATTTCTTCTGAAATTGATGAAGATGAAATAATATTTATTCTTCCATTATCTAATTTACAAAAATTATCAATTCTATCATTACGATCATTTCAAATACATATTCAACAAACTACTGGAATCACACACTTAACAATTTTCAATTATTCTTTAGAACAATTAATTTATCAATTATTTCAATATGTTCCAATGTTGACATATCCCAATATTGAATATATTTCCAAATATAATCGATCGATGAAGAATAATGAAAATATTCATAAACATAATGCTATTTATCTAGAAAAATTGATTATTGGTGAATTTAAATATGACTTTAAAGATTTTGCAAATTTTATTAAACAAATACCAAATTTAAAAAGTTTAATAATATTCAGTGACGAACCCAAAAGTCGGACTACGGGGATCGTTCCTTCCCTCCTCTTCCGAAAAAAATTGTTGATATTAATTTTTTCATCTTTTTTATGAACACCGGAGAAAGATTATTTGAATGTACATAAAGCTGTTGCTGAAAGCTTGAATATGGACAGCATCATTGATGAGTTTGCTAAATCAAAACGTAAAATAAGTTTTACAAATGAACCTATTTAATTGTGTTGCCTCACATGTATTTATTTTTTTTCTGATTTTCATTTTGTAAATTTATATTCACAAGCGGGATGTCCCAAGTGGGATGAGACCCTCCAATAATCGAAAATGTCTTGTTTTTTGCTCAACAAATTACGAAAATTTTGAAAATCTCAATAATTTATAAAAATTTCTGAAAAAAAATTGTCAACCTTCCTCCAATAATTTTCGCCTCGGGAGACAACTGATTCACAAAATAAAAACATGAACAAGAATAAATTCGAAAGCGCTCACTATAAACAAAAAAATGCCATTAAATAAGATTCAAAAACTTTGGTCCCCTCCAAGCAAAAAACCTGGTTGCGTCACTGATAATATCTACAAACGATAATATAACTATGACTAATGCTGTTTATTGAGAACATTTAATTAAATCTTCATTATCTTATTTAAGTATTTTTAAATTCAAATTCAGTTTCAAAAGAAGAAATAATAGTGAAATATATTTGAAAAGAATGATCTTTTTTCTACGTAAATTTCGGATCGAAGAGCATCATTAGTATACTCAATTAGTATCCGACAAATCTTCCATATGTATTTATACAACACCTTATTTATCAAATACATTTCAAATGGAACCGGATACTATAACATATTTTCGTACGATTTCTTATAAATCGAATCTATTCGATAAAGTAACCAATCTTATATTAACTCATCAATCGATAATAGACAAATGTCAATATCATTTTCCAAATGTTACTTCATTAACATTAATTAGTTCGGATGAAGTGATTAATGATTCTTTAGAAAAAATAGATTTTATTCAGTGTTTGAAAATGACTGTTAATTTATCGAAATTAATACATTTAGATATTCCAAAATATCAAAAGATTATTTTATCAGGAAATTTATTAGAATTATTAAAAGAATCATCACAATTATCATCAATGAAAATTGATCCATTTGATTTAACATTATTATATAACAATGAAGAATTATGTGAATATTTAAAGAAAATGATTAAAAAATTAAATATTTATAAATATTTTACAACTTACATGTAATATTAATGATCTGAATCATATATTTTTTTTTATTACATCAATTTCCAAGATTAAATATTATGTATGTTTATATATCAGCATCATATCATTATAAATATATTTATTCTTTTCTTCAAAAACAATCAGTCAAACTAAATTTAAATTTTTATGTCAAATATGATTATCTAAATGTACCAGAACTATCTATTTGGATTTGTTAAAATATCAATTAAATACATGTATTCTACTTATTGAAATTATTCTTTTTCTTTCTAATAGAAAATAAAATTTTGCAATGAATAATTTATTTCTGAATAGATTTTTACCTTCACACGCCTGTCTTGCTATGATATTATAAAAGGCGATGAACAACACGTACAATCTTAAGGAGAAAACAGCAAATTTCGTACTCGTGAGATTTCCATGATATTCCAAATCTCTATTCTTTTTATTTCCTGAATATCTGTTTTTTTTTGTCGACGATATTTCGAACTCCCTTTGTATCTCAAAGACATAGTGATAGCTGATCTTTTACAACAGAAAAAGTAACTTTGTCATCATAAGTCTAGACGAAACGTCTCATGAGATAAGTATGAAGGCAACTAGCACAAAAGAGTTCTTCCGTTAGTGAACTTGTCTGAGTTAATCGATTGATATATCACTCCTATTAGGGGTCAAAAGCTGACAGACTTTTTATCTATGTTTTCTCTTTGTATATGTCTTAACATGAAAGTAGGTATTGACAAATGGAGAAAGAATAGACGATTAATCTGTTGAGAATTTGATTGACAAAATTTTTAATCAATTCGAGAGACATATACTTAGATTTTTCATATATTATGAAAAAATCAAAAATGGAAAACTTGTTCAAATTCAACTTTATTTATTGTTTATTTTGAGGAATAACAAATATATGATTCTAACTCGTTATGAAGCTTTTTGTTCTACTAAAAAATATTTATATTTAATTATGATTTCATTTTTATTGTAATTTCTGGATCCATCAAGAACATACAACACCCCCTATTTAATACTCTCTTCTTGTGATTCTGAAGATACATAGAAAACGAGTGCAAATCATTCTCTTCGACTGGTATTGCTTGAGATACAAGATGACGTTAATACTTTCTCAGAGAAAGTGTTGGTAGGTGTGGTACTGAATGTAATAACATTCATCAGAATAAGCTTTATGATTGCAATATTCTTCATCATATGAGAAAACACAATGAGTAATTGACTGTGAGTACCTATATACTTGACAAAACACGCCGTCATTTTCTGAAGTAGAAACATTAGTCAACATCCGATTGATCGTTGACTTTACTCCCATTCATTCATTCGTTCTGTCACGAGGAGCGAACATCATAACAATCTCGTTCATTGAAAGAAATATTTTATTCGTCCAGAATGTTATTTTCAATAATAAATGAAACGTGTTCTTTAACATAGCCGATTAGGCAAGCGCGGGAAGAAAATAAATTGTAGTCGAACAAATCATGGGTTTTTTTACGAACAAGTCTATTGATCCATTTCTGACTTCTATAATGCCTGAGGTTTTCAACATTGTATTTGATCTATAGTAATGCATATATTTAATTATTTATAAAAATTACAAAAAAAAACAAAAAAGATACAAATATTCACTTGTAACGTATAAGTGAGAAACAAAATTATTGAAAAAAAAATATTTGTTTGAGTTTAACCGACTGAATGATCCAAATAAAAAATAATAATTTCAATCAAAAAAGCTTTCAGCGCAATCCCTGCGGGATTAAAAATATGACACACGATGGAGCTTTTTATATTGTGAATGAAGGAATTTGGATTTTCTGTGTCACGGTCTGTGATGGTCTTTGGAGCCCCTCTGTCACGATCTGTGATGGGTACTAGGTTTCTCTGTCACAGTTCGTGATGGGTATGGATTTTCTCTGTCACGGTCTGTGGGGGGAGGGGGGTCCAAATTTCTACCCTATACACTTCAACACTCCTTTTAGATCGTGTTTCACAAAAAAATAAATAGTTACGATTAAAAAACTATTCACCTCAATGTAATTCAGTCGTAAAACTGACCTAAAATGAAGAAATAAGTGTAATTTAAATAAAAAAGAAAAACTAATTCTAAATTAAATTGTTACGTATTGTTTTAATCGTAAATAAATAACTCTAATAGCATTGATTTTACTTTAATTAAAATAAAATGAACTATGTTAAGAGTAATTCACTTCATGATGCTATAACTAAAACAATGCTAACAGATTAATTCATTTTGTTTTAAAATATAATAAACACAATAATTTTATTAGATTAAATTTATTTTAATTACAATAAAAATAAAAGAAATATAGTTCCATTCAATTCATTTCATTCTATATTTGTTCTAAATATATGATCCTTTTAGATTAATTTTAATCAACTGAACTAAATTATAATATTTATAATAAATGGAATTAGTTCTTTTTCACATTATTGAAACCAGATTTTCAAAAAGCTTATATCATTAACTTGAGTTAAAATAAAAGCAAAAAAAATTAAGGATAATAATCGACAAAATACAAAAACAATTAATTAAGTTTGATAAGTTTGTTTAATGTCTAAAACATAGAATTGAATTAATTTAGTATTATAAATAAATATAAAAGCATTTTTACCTCTATTTTGAAAAATAATACAATATGTATTCTTCTTAAACCAATTAAAACTTAAAATCATTTGATAATGGTTCATTCTTCTTCTTCATATAGTCTATTGTGAGCATGAGTTGTAGATTAGAAGTACTATACAAAAGATCATTTTTTAATTCGAAATAACGTAGTGTTTAAATTAGACTGTTTCCAATCTATTGAATATTTATATAAAATATGCAAAACTATCATTATAGGGATTAATAACATTGGAAAAACCTAAAAGTATGATGTTACAAAATCTTACAAGATCTTATAAGATTCGGATCCTCAGATTTTACAAGGACTTTATAGTAAGAATCATGTAAGATTTACACTAGCATCTTACAGTAAGAAGCATACTAAATCTTAAAACAAAATATTTGTGCGATTTCATAAGATCGTACAGTATGAATCTTACGACATCCAATTGTCGGTAAGAACTTGTACGATCTTATACGGTCTTCGTCAGATTTTTTTCATCTGGGTATTTTCGACGTGATCCTTTTCAAATCACAACAGTAAATATCAATTCTTTTATCGATAGAGTGAACTTTATTAAACAAAAAACTATCAACTATACATATAAAAAAAGAATTATGTATTCATTTTTAAAGTAATCTTGCCAATAGCTTTTCCTTTGAAGATAAGATCATGAACTTTTTTTAAATTCTCACAATTAAATTCAAAGACTTGTGTTACATGCGATTTTATTTTTCCTTGATCAATTAATTTAGCTAATTTTTCAAGTACTTCTCCGTGAACTTCCAAATTACCACCATATCGTACTTTGGTACTTAATAATTCCCAGACAAATGTTAAACATTTAGCCATACTTGGTGTACCATAAAAATCAAATTTACCTTGAACAATTGAACACATTTTTCCAAATGGAGATAAAACATCTGCACATACTTTAACATATTCTTCAACGGTTGTATGAGTAATAAATGCATATTTTAATGGAACATTTAATTTCAATTGATTTATTTGCTTTACAATATCATCATGATGATTAATAACATGTGTTGCACCCATTTCCTTACTAAAATTACGTGTTTCTTCTCTTGATGCTGTTGTAATAACAACTGGTAAACGAAGAATTTCAGCACAAATTTGTGATGCAATTGATCCAACACCTCCTGCTCCATTAATAATAAGAATAGCTACTTGTTCACCTTCTTTGATTTCAAGCCGTTCGACAAGTGCTTCCCAAGCTGTTAGAGCTGTTAAAGGAATACCAGCAGCATGTTCAAATGAAAGACTGCGTGGTTTCAATGCTGCACTTCGTTCATCAGCAAGTACCAATTCGGCATTACTTCCATGTCGAAAAGGTGAAGCAAGGAAATATATTTCATCACCAATTTTAAACCGAGATACATCGGGTCCAACTTGCTCGACAACACCTGATGAATCATAACCAAGAATTTGATATTTATCGGTATTAAAAGGTACGTGATCATAATAATCTGGATAATCATCATAAACGCCTCCTCGAACCTTTATATCAATCGGATTAACACTGGTGGCTTTTATTCGAATAAGCAAGTCTCTTCCTTGAGGAGCAGATGGTTTAGGTACGTCGAGATCTTCGAGGACTTCAATATCACCATATCTTTTTAAGCCAACTGCCTTCATTTTATTGTCGAAATTTAAATGAAATGTTTTCTGTGCACTTTCTTATATACAGTTTATATATATATAAACTTTTTTTGCCTCATCATCACCATGTAACGCCTCATTTCGTTATTTGTATTCTAAAATTTTTGCTTCGTCATTCTTACGATGTTAAAAATAGATATCTGGATAGTTTTGTGCACTATTGAATGCTGATCACGCCCTAGACACATACACAATGACAGAACGAAAAGAAAAATTGATACTTCTTCATAGTATATGGACAGAGCCTGACGAATCATCGCTTCAATATAAAATCATAAGCGTTAATGTGTTTAAATTGATCAGTTTGTGTCGCTTATTTCTCGGTATCAACATTTTTTCAGAAAAAAATAAAAACATAGTTCGATAGAGAAAAATTTTCTCCATCGAATAGGATAAATAAAAAGTTTTACTTGTATAATTTTATAAGAAATCTTTACATATAGTGCAATCCCGGTGCAGGACAGGAAAGAAAAATTGTAGGTTGAAAAGTGACCAATCGTTTTAATTCAACTGAAACAATGAAAACAAAAGAAGTGATAAATAGATGGCTATCATAGATGGCAGGAGCACTCTTAAAAATGCCATGTGTCTTACAAGACGGTGCAACCGTCTAAAATCTACTTTAGACATATTTTTGACATGAGAAGCGTCTTATTTTCTAGACACTAATATGCAACAGGAAATCACGCGTCATAATTATCATTTTGGTGAATATTCACAAAGTATTTTTTTGTTTAGACAAACGAATGATATGCTGTTGATATTTTAATAATGTTATCAAAATTATTATTAATAGTAATGATAATTGTGCAAGTAAGGTGAACTTATAGTTTGTATAATAAACAAAGTAAACAGTCGATATGCACTCCTGATTGAGAAAAAAAAATTAGTTCCCTCTTTGGAAATATAATTTGTCGAACTTACTATTAGTAAATCACGATGACCAACACTTCAAAGCTTTTTTAAGCTTTGAATTGTTTCTTTTAGATGTTTCATTCTCGTTTTCGTTCAACATCGTATATTTTACTCTCTCATAACCAGATAAATTTATTTATATATTATTCGTTGGGCTATATTTATTTATTTATCTTCATTTTAAGAAACAGATGGTTTTGTTATTATTGGTAAGTTACGATGAACAACAATTTAAAGTTTTTATTTTGACGTATTTATTGTTTCATTTAGAAATTTCATTCTCGTTTTTATTCAACATCATATATTTTATTCTGTCTCAACTAGATAAATTTTTATGTCATTCATTCAGGTGCATCTTTTGATTTAAAGTAAGTACATTTTATATTCGAATTGGACCGTTTCTCTTCTTTTTGACTTTAACTACTTTTTAAATGATATTGAATTCTATTTACTTATCTTCAATTGAAAGATAAATTTTTTTTATTAATGAGAAAATAAGATAGAGAAAAGTGATACACTAATTATAAAATAGTAAAGGATTTACCATAAGAATGTAAAGAAACATAAAAATCCATTCAGTGATATTAACGTTAATGTCTTTTTATAACACATGTTTTCGAAAAGAAAACAATCAAGTTTATTCATTTCTTCCACTTCAAATGCTCTTAGCTGTAGTACGTAGTCTTTGATTTTGAACATTTTACCAACAAAAGCACATCTTTTCCTATCGTAGAGAATCCAACGTATTTTGCCAACTATTGGTAGCGACGAAAAATGTTTAGGTGAGTCCATAAGTGGTGGCGGAGATATATCAATTTCTTATAGAAAACTCTGAGAAACTTTTTTTCTATACAGTCTGATAGAGAAAAGAAAGCTCTATTTTTCTATGCTATTTG